AGAAGTAAATCAAAAAGATGAGCAACGTCTCAACGTCTCAAATATATACTCGTAACTATAAAATAAAAAAGCCGCGGTAGTTTATCCGCCTACCAAACGTGGAAACTATGGCAAATATTCCAAATATGAAGCAATCCGCGGGAGAGACCTATGGTCAGTAAATGATACTTGGTTGTTTTTTATAACATAAGGGTGACAAACAAGTACACAGTCCATCTGATGGTAAAAGGTTGCTGTGACCCATAGACATCTAAATCTATCATCGATTAATCAAAATGCTGATCTCCGGTTCTCCACACTCAACATAAGAAACAGAAGAGTTGAGCTACTATTTTACGCAGGTATTCTGGGAGAGCGTTGTCCTCCCCCGTCGAGCCGACCCATTCGTGCTATAACTATACCTACTACTAATACGAGTACTAATACTCGTATAGCTGCAACATTCCAGCATGGCTTTACCACGTTAAAAACTTGTAACGGTAACGGCCGATATAGTGAGATGAAACATCGCTAAAACAAAACAAGCAGAGTTACAAAATTCCACTCACTTCCAATATGGTGCCAGATCTATTTCTTGGTATAACTTGCCGCCCACTCGCATAAACTGTAGCCCCATTCCAAAATCATATTAGTGCATTCCGATCGGGGTATTCAATACTTCACATTGTTGCATAGTTACGATAAAATTACTTGTGTCTCAAGATATGACGTAATAGTTCTTTGTATAAGCGCTAATAATATAAATCTTAGAGAGATAAGATACTGGCCTTGGAACGTAATTTAATATGCTTTAATTATCCTGCCTTAACTTGTACAAATACCTTCCATATGGTAAGTAACGAATCAGAAACCAAAGTTACCTACTCATTTCGCAATGCAGCCGCTCAGTAAGAATGTATTTTACGATAGTCCCATCAACAAAAATTCTTAATATTTTACATCTAGCTTCTGCAATCAAATATTATCGTGTGCCCAGGGAAGCGAACAGGTATCAGCTAATAACAATATAAATGCGTGGTACCGCTATGCCGTAGCTGTATTATTGCTGGTCCAGTTTTAAAGGACGAAACAGGAGAATATGGTACTCGCTACTATGACGATTTCCTCAGTTTTATGTATAATCAGTCCAAACTGCCAATCGAAAATGTGTGGTATGAAACCTATACAAAAATCTGGCCACAGAGAATTGAATGTATTTTACGTTTACAAAAATTCTATGTACAATTTTAAACTAAATTTGGACAATATTTAGAAGTGCACTCATTTTATTTGCTTCTTGTGGTTGTCTAGATCAGTCATTCGGGAACAGTGCTACATCAAAAAATCTGTTAAAAACTAGAGATGGGCCGAATATGGATTTTTCCGAATACGAATATTCGGCCGAAAGTCCGGTAAAACTTTTACCGAACCGAATATTCGCCTGAACATTATTCGGCAGGATCAGTCTAGTATCTAGATGTTAGTGCTGTTAGTCTATGCGACTCTTACAGCTTCATCTGTCTGTCTCTAATTAAAATAAGGGAAAGGCAATGAGGTGAGGATGATGAAATGGCTTATGATTTGATATTGTTACCAATCATCATGTCGCCTTTTTAGGCGTTTTTCTTTGAGTTATCTAACCACAGTCCGAGGGGAGGAGAGCGGACCCCCGTCTCTGACTGCTCAGCTCATGTCGGTAGATGATCTGGGCGGTGAGAACCGTCCAGGAACGCGGGTGTACGGTGTGTACGCGGTGTGAGCTGGAACGCGTCGTGCCCGTCTGCGGGTGCGACGCGTCCCATTCGTTGTCCTAGTGATGTTTGTCCCATTTAGTGTGGGTGTAGTGTCGTTGTGTGATGTGCCTGCGACGTTTGGGTCGACTGGATCGAGCGGTTGAGGTGGTTCTATTAACACATTTCGCGGTCTACGGAGATAGGGCGCGACGTTTGTTATCGGAACGTAGTTAGCTGCGTTTGTCACTAGCGGGTTTCTACTCTATCAAAGTAGCGCTGGGACATCTCCTTAAAATATTCGGAGATAGATGGTAATTCACAATCTTTGTGTAAATCAGAGTTCCGTTGATGCCACCGTGCACCGGTGGTTTTTCGGATGAAAAAGTTTTGTACTCTTTGGAGTTTTAAAATATGGGTCTTATATGTGTGGGCGAAAGCTACACTTGAATAGGACATAACTGGTCTAATGCAGGTTTTGTACAGCCGGTGTGTCTTAGCGACAGCTTACTCTTGCTGTTAACGAGCGGGTGTAGACGGCCAATTATTGACTTGGCTCTGTTGCGTACTACTCTTATGTGCGTCGCGAAACTCATGTGGGAGTCGAACGTGACGCCTAGGTATTTGGCCGATTTTTCCCAAGGGATTGGGCGGTCGTATAGGGAAATAGTTTTTGGTTTAAAACCTGCTGATGTATTCCGTTGAAAGTATATTGCTACACTCTTTTCGGGATTCACGTCTATTCTCAATTGGCGGAACCATTCACCTAGGCGATTGGTGGCTTTTTGAAGCTGTAATGAAAGTCTATTTTTGTTGTGGTCTGACACATAAAGTGCCGTATCGTCGGCGAAGAGTGCAGTGTTCACCACCGGGTCTTTGGCGATATCACTCTTGTAGAGTGTGAAGAGGAGAGGAGATATGACGGAGCCCTGAGGGACCCCGGCCTTGAGGAAGCGTTTCGAAGAACGGGTTCCCTCCACTCGATAACGAAAAGTGCGATTCGAAAGGAAGGCTCGTATGATGCGCACGAGCCTATCAGGCACGTTTAGTTTGTTGCGTACTACACTTATGTGCGTCACGAAACTCATGCGGGAGTCGAACATTCCAGGCATTCCATCTTAGTCCTCATGGATGATAACACATTTGCATGTGATTCTTAGTTGAGGATAAAAGTGGATGTCTATGGATCACAGCATCCACTTACCATCAGGTGGAGTGGGTGTTCGTTAGTCACGCAATTCTATAAAAAAATGAAAAACATGGCATTACTGAATTCGTACATTACAATACAGTGGACACTTTGAGTAAAACTTAAACGAATGTTCAGTGATTTAGCCGAATATTAGGCCGAATAAGAATATTCGGTGAAGCTGCCGAATACCGAATATAAAACGAATATTCAGCCCATCTCTATTAAAAACCCATTTTTCAAAATGCCTTTTCGGCCTAGTATATCGCCGTAATAATGTCATATGTTACGGCGCCTCTACACGTTGGCCAACACAGTGGCGAATGTAGTGGCCAATAGCATTGGCCAACGTGTAGACGGGGTGTTTGGGCTTCATTGGTATGTATTGGAACGATGGCCCGCAAGTTGGCGCGAGATCCGTGTGGTGTCGGTTTTTTACAAAAGATCAAAGGATTGGCAGAGTTTGGTCGCCGCGTCCACACGTTGGCCGCGAGTTTAGTTTGCTACAAGCTCCCAGAGTGATTACACGCATCTGATTAAAATTTTATATTCATGCTTTGTAGGGTGGATGACCCAATTACACAATTTCAACTTTAAACATTCATACTACTTTAATTAGCGCGATTTAATTATTTTTAAACATTTGTTTTATTCGATAAGCTATTTATAAAAAAATAATGAACATTTATTAACAATCAGATTATTACGAGAACAATTTTAAAATTAAAAAAAATTAAGCACGTCGTTTATACGTAGTAGAACCATGCAGTTATATTAGAAGTATAGTTGTAGCACGAATGGGTCGATTCGACCGGGGAAGGACCACGCTCTCACAGAATATCAATGTAAAATAGTAGCTTAATGATGCTGTGTTTCGTATAGTGAGTGTAGAGAACCAGAGACACTTTTTAAAGGAAACGAGGCATTTCATCTTAGTCCTCACAGGTGACAACGCATCTGCATTTTGATTCGTAATCGAGGATAGATGTAGATGTCTGTGGGCCACAGCAACCACTTACCATCAGGTGAACTGTGTGCTCGTTTGTCACCCTATCCTATATAAAAAGCGTCGATTTCTTATAATTTAATCGTGCAAGTTTTCGAATCATCATCATCATTACAGCTCTTACAAGTCCACTACTGAACATCCTCCTCCAAAGAATGCCGCAAAGCATGGTCCTGAGCCACTTTCCTTGTCATGAGTTTTTCATTTATGTTCTAAGTTATAATTAGTACCTATTATTAAGTCAGTGTTAATTATATTTATTGCTATCGTTTTTGTCTTTCTCAAAAAATAATTAAATTACCAAATAAATTATAAGGTGTTTTTTATATACATCAAATGTCTGATAGAAAAGCAAGTACATGTTTTGCTAAATTTTAAAAACAAAACCCAATATTAAAACATAGACTAATTGATTATAACTCCTTTAACTTTAAAATAAGTTAAGTTCTAATTAATTCCAGTTTATGATGCATGTAAAGAATAAATAAAGCTAATCTTATATCTATTTACAGCCCCATTAATATTCACTATTCTTTTATAATTATTTTATAAAAACGTTACCCCCCACACTTGGATTTTCTCCTGTGTCGCGGAGGCTACTTACAAACATAAATTGCACAAGGACACACATCCAGATAGAGATATACAAATACTTGTCCCGTGCGGGATTCAAACCCGCGACCCCTGGCACAGCCACTCATTGCCAAGCCACTGCGCCACGGAGCCGACGTCTAAAATAAAATAAATTCGTTCGCACATTGGCCCGAACCGAAGTAAACGGAACGACCTTCCAACGTGTGGACGCCGTCACCAACTCTCGGCCAATATATTCGCCACTACATTCGCCACTGTGTTGGCCAACGTGTAGAGGCGACATTAGTACAATATACCTACTTTAGGTGACATGTGCACTGTGCAGTGTGCACAACGACTACACTACACCATGAGTACACAGTTCGGGCTGTGTAGTCGTTGCGTGTACACGTTAAATAATCTTATCTATAATTTATCGTTACAAATTACTGATAAAAATATTACGAGAACTCTAATCGCTGTGTATCATTTAGAAACAGTAAATTAAAGGTTTTGAACAAATATGGCCACTGTGTCTATACAGCAAGGTTTATTGAAAGGTGGAAAATCACAAAATGATAATGGATTTCAATACTACGAGTTCTTGGGGATACCATATGCAAAACCACCTGTGGGAGATTTAAGATTTAAGGTAAAATACCTATTTAAAAAATTGTTATTAAAAAAATAACAAGCCACAAGCTATTATAATAATTAATCACTGTGATTATATTACGAAAACATGATTGTTTACAACAGTAATAAACTACTTTATTTTAATCTTAGAATACGTTTCTGAGAAGCTCAGGAATCTCATTACTATAATATAATATAATATAGCATATGCGTGAATATTGTCAGAAAAAGATAATTTTTACTAATTAATCTAAATATTAAGGCATTATTAATTTTGTACCTATTTCTTAATTCACGACCATTATTCTGTATCAAAAGAGAGCGGTAAAGTACCTACTCGTACGTGCAAAATAAAGACAGTATTCAAGTCACCTGCATATCCTCACATTAGAATTCCATAAGACATTACGCTGAGCTCACCCACTTTAGTTAATCAGCTAAGGTTATGATATCTTATAATATCTACTCAAAAATTGTTTTCGAGTAAAGACTAATTTGATATTTCGCTAAGTATGTAATAACATTTATAATCTATCGTCTTAAATTCGAAGACGATAGATTATAAACAGTCCACCTGATCTCGCTTTCACTATACGCCGGTCTGAAGACTTATACTTTATAGACTTTATAGAATGTTACTTTTGAGTCCTTACGATGTTATATCATATCAAATCCAATTTGCACAAGGCGCACCTGATCGAGACTTAGCGAATGAATTATTGCGAAAAATCCACCCAAAAACAAATTTCTTAATGAGTCACCCGTAAACGAGTTATTTTGTAAAAAAAAACTATTCACCGTGGGTACATCCCAAGGTCGAAAACTTGAATACTCCATCATTGAGTCTCTATACACAAGGGTCTTAAACTACGTTTGGACAATTAGTGCCCTTCATGAGTCAGCAAAAGTCCATAGTTGGACACCTTTCTCTTCTCTTTGCAGGGAAGTCGTCGTGCTTAAGAGGCTTAGAGTATTTAACAGTAGTATAATATATACTCTATGGTTCATAAAAGATAGCTTGATCTCTGCGACAGCTGTCAGTAAAAATCACGACTATGAAGTCCTGAATTTCTTAGTAGTAGACAGTACCTGTCAATGTCATACTTTATGGGCATGCAGTGCATGACAGCTGTCGCAGAGATCAATCTATTTTTTATGAACTATAAGTTAAGAGGATTGTGAAGTATCGATACGCGGCGCGAGAAATAAATTCAAAAATGCTATCTGTTCGACACCGCTCGCTCCGTATAGAAGTTTATCGCCGTATCTTGCGATAGAAAGTTTACATTTCCTTTTTGAAACATAGTTTCGGGCGATAACGTACACCCCCCCCCGCCCCCCCCAAACCTTTACGAAATGAAACAATTTTGGTCTGCTTAATCTAGGTATGTACGTTTTTTTAGTAATTCAATTTAGTTTAATTTAAAAAAAAAAACGCTCGAGGATATTTTTAAGTTAAAAATATAGATATTCACATGCTAATAACTTATATCGTACGCAATATTTCTTTAAAATAAAAATGTAAGGACTAAGTTTTTCGTTATATCTACAACATTTCCAAAAAATATGAAAATTAGACTGTTTACGGGAGGAAATACGTTATCACTTCTTGTATGAAAATTTACACCTTCACAATCCTCTTAATTATAATTGCCCTCATGCGTGATAATTTGTAACCCCACCTCAATATTTAATAATTTTATTTCATTTATTTAATGACATTTACAGAAAAAGCATTACATAATTTTATAACTTCGCCAAACTGTAAAGACAGTTTGTTGGCGAATAAATGCACTCTTATATTACATAATTAAATAAGTACTCAACCCACATAATATAACAAATAAATAGAAATTTTAAACATAAACACTATAATTTCCACACTCTATCAGTTCCAAATACAACACCCCACCCACATAACATTGCAACAAAATAAAAATTGTAAATATAATCCGGATATATTTTTCAAATATTACAAACAAATAACAGTTTTCTAAATGGCCATACATCCAGCATTTTATCCACAAAATAATTCCCAAGTTTTTTTTTTAAATTGTTAATTTGCAATTAGGTCTACCGTGCCTTAGCCAATCTATTTCATTAAAAAGCTTTGGTATTACCTAAATATTAGCCCCTTTCGTACTGTGTTTTTAAATATACTACCGATGCAAACAAGTTAGGTATAAAAGCTATTCTAAGAAATATAACTGTATTGTAACCGATTTTACAGAGTCCCCAATCACCAGAAGCATGGGAAGGCGAAAGAGATGTCACAGTTGCCAACAAAGAGAATACAGCAATGCAAATTGATATGATTGGTGGTAAAGTTATAGGAAGCGAAGACTGTCTTTATCTAAATGTCTATACCCCAACTCTTCCTCATGAAAATGCTAAACTGCTCCCTGTAATGGTGTTTATACATGGCGGCGGCTTTATACACGGAAACGGAATTTTAAAGAGTGAAAATGGTCCAAATTTCCTTATTGAACACAATACAGTAATAGTTACAATTAACTACAGGCTATCTATCTTTGGATTCCTGTCCTTAGATATTCCGGAGGCAGCAGGAAATATGGGCCTTAAAGATCAGGTTAAAGCTCTTCAATGGGTTCAAAACAATATATGTCATTTCGGTGGTGACAAAGATAACGTTACTATATTTGGTGTCAGTGCTGGTGCTGCATCTGTGGAATACTTAATTGTTTCACCAATGGCAAAAGGACTTTTCCATAAGGCTATCCTTCAGAGTGGTTCTTGTCTTAATCATTGGGCAGTCAATTATGAAATTAAGAAATTAGCGTATAAAGTTGCTGAAAAGTTAGGCTATAAGGAGTCTGAAGAAGATAATGTTGCTATTTACAAATTTTTATTAAACACATCCGGTAACAATTTAGCCGCTACTGCTTTTCAAATCTCCGAAGAATATACAGAAAAAAGAATTTTCTTTGGATTTGTTCCAACAATCGAAAAGGATTTCAATAATGGAGAAGCTTTTCTAACGGAACAACCTTACCGTTTATTAAAACAAGGACTATTTAGTCACGTGCCCGTTATTAAAGGCTTTTGTGATAAGGAAGGTTACTTAATGAATATGATGAAGCCGAAAGCAATCTTAGATGTTTTGGACAAACAGAATTTTATTGAATCTTGGTCTTTTAATTTTGACACATATGATAATACCAAATACAGCGCTAAATTCTTACAAACCTATTCGGAGAACATTCAACCTGAAGATGATAAAGATAAGCTCGCTGTAGATTTTTTTGGCGACCTTGATTTTGTATCTGGAATTTGGGTGTCTGGAAAATTAATGGCTCAAAGAGGTGTGCCCGTACGATTTTATGAATTTTCATATGATGGCAAACTGAACTTTTTTAAGCTCTTTTTTGGTGTAATGAGAAAAGGAGCAGCCCATGTTGACGACGTAGGTTATGTTTTAAGCAATGAAATAACGAAGAAAGCAGATGAGGAAGACCTTATAGTAAGAAACACTATGAGCAAAATGTGGACTAACTTTGCTACATTTGGGTATGTTATCTATTAGCATTTCCTATTAAAGTAACTATTTTAAATTAGGAGGTTAGGTACTTCCATTTCTTAAAGAGGTTTGGAGAAGGGAAAAATACAGTCCATAGTGAGAAACATGTTCTCGAACAAATTTTAATTATTTTGATATGTAGGAAACCGCCCCAAAAATTTCGCTTACCGGTACGAGGTTGTTACTCGAGAGCTTTTCTAACTCATTCGTTTCGTTTACATACAGTTACGGTTTTTCGACCTATGTGGCCGGTCCATACTCACTTCAGCTTACTGATCCATTGACATGTCGGTTATTTTGGTTCTACTGCTGATAGCCTCACTTTGAAGTCGCAGAGAAAGTCCGCAAACTTGCAAGAGACGCAGGACGTCAATGGATGCAAGTGGCTAAAGACCGTGGCATTCCTTGGGGGTCGCGTATGCAACAGTAGACTTGTGAAGAGCTGTAATGATAATAAAAATAATGACTTGGTTAAGCAGATTTCTTTACGACGATTTCCTTTACATGGTATTTTTGTATGTTACTTAAATTTTGTAAAAAGTTTCGATCCACGTGCCCGACAATGAAGAAATACATCGTCAGGGAACCTCTATATCATAATATTTTGGGGACGTATTTTGGGGACATGTAATGTCCGCCAATACTCATTTATGTGTTTTGTGGCCATCACACATTAAATCATCGCGGTAGACTCATTGCTCCATTACCCACTTAGAAATCTGGGGACACCTGTACTACTGGTGGCCATAATAAACCTTCGGGTTCCCTCGGGATCAGCCAGTGAGTAAATCGTCACTATCTTTAGTAGGAGTGTAATATGATAATATATTTACGACTTAATATTGTACACCTGAAATAGGTATACTATGGAGCACAAATAATGTACATTACATATTTTAAAGGCTTTGACTTGATTTGATGTATCATAAGTTATTGAACAGAGAAGTTACAGAAGTTGTTACAACAACTGGTGATAGCGGCGGGGATAGAACTTTCAATAACTCGCGTTCTTTTTCTACTTTGTTGGCCTATAAAAGTCTACTGCTGGACGTGCACATCTCCTGTGGTTGGGAGGATTTTCCTTAATCGTACCCCTTGGCAAACGGATTGGTAATCGCAGTTCTAGTTGTATGTATGTATGAAATTAATGGTGGCCTATCTCTAAGAGCATAATGAATACAATATGATAAATAGAATCGTACTTTATGTGATCCACATAGAGAAAATAACTATACATGGAAGAGCTATGCTGCAACTATAATAGTGTGTAGTTAGACCACGCTCGCACAGAACATCAGCGTGAAATAGCAGTTTAACGATGCTGTATTTCGTATGGTGAGTGTAGAGAACCAGAGACCCTTTTTGCTGGAAATGAGGCATTCTATCTTATTCCTCAAGGGTGACAACGCATCTGCATTTTGATTCGTAACCGAGGATAGATGTAGATGTCTATGGGCCGCAGCAACTATTTACCATCAGGTGAACTATGTGCTCGTTTGTCACCCTATAAAAAAATCGCAATTAACTAAAACGATGATAATGATTGCCAATTAGCGTTTTAAGGACGCGTTTACAAATCAACCAAAATTAGGGTGTTTATCGGGAGATTTTGTGACAAAACTAAACAAAATCAAATATAAGTAAAAACTACCATGTATAGATTGGTTCTTCATCTGCAAACGTCTGTAACTCTTTTGTTGAAAATAGTAGTTTTTTATATTGTAAAAACGAACTTTCGTTGCCATTTTCTACAAAATTAACGATACCGGCTTGTGTTTCGGTACATGTTTTGGTCTATTATCAACATATTTAAAAAATTTAAAAAATACTGTATGATGACAGACATATTCAATTAAAAAACCCTGTGTTTATTTTTATCAAAATGTCACAAATAGTCGTAGAAAAAATAAAAACTGATGCACATTTTTTCACATATTTTGCTAATACGGATAAATCATAATCTATTGCAATAAGGGCTATTTTATTGTTGGTGCCTGCTTTGATTTATTGTACAAAGATTTCGATGAAACCACAGTCCGCGCTTGGCCGCCGTCGTGAGTGGACACTGTATCGCCTGTTTGCAGCGGCTCATTCTGAAAAGATCGCTGTACATACACAAAATATTAGAAAAAAAAAAACAAATTGGAAACATAAGTACTTGACAAGTGATAAAATTATTATTTTTATACTCACAGTTTTTTATTTAGCTAAAAATAAGTAGGATATATAAACTTACCTACTACTGCAACTCCTGGACGAGCGGAACTAGGTGTGCCGAGTTTGGGCTCGTTTTGTTGGTTATGATGAGACCTTACCTCCGGACTTGATGGAGTGACCTGAAGGTGTAGTTCAGTGATTACAAGTGGAACTCCTAGACTTGTAGAACTAGGTGTGCCGAGTTTGGGTTCGTTTTATTAGTTACGATGAGACCTTACCACCGGACTTGATTGAATGACCTGAAGGTGTAATCAGGTGGTTACAAATGGAACTCCTAGACTAGTAGAACTAGGTGTGACGAGTTTGGTTTCGTTTTGTTAGTTACAATAAGACCTTACCACCGGACTTGATAGAGTGAAATTCGGCACACCTAGTTCTACTGGTTCAGAAATACCAGCAGTAGTTACTGAATTACCCCTTCAGGTCACTCCATCAAGTCTGTTGGTAAGGTCTCATCATAACTAACAAAACGAACCCAAACTCGGCACACCTAGTCCTACAAGTCTAGGAGTTCCACTTGTAATCACCGAACTACACCTTCAGGTCACTCCATCAAGTCCGGTGGTAAGGTCTCATCATAACCTACAAAACGAACCCAAACTCGGCACACCTAGTTCTACCAGTCTAGGAGTTCCAGTTGCCATCACCGATTTACACCTTCAGGTCACTCCATCAAGTCCGGAGGTATGGACTCGTCATAACTAACAAAACGGAGCCCAAATTCGGCACACCTAGTCCTACAAGTCTAGGAGTTCCACTTGTAATCACCGAACTACACCTTCAGGTCACTCCATCAAGTCCGGTGGTAAGGTCTCATCATAACCTACAAAACGAACCCAAACTCGGCACACCTAGTTCTACCAGTCTAGGAGTTCCAGTTGCCATCACCGATTTACACCTTCAGGTCACTCCATCAAGTCCGGAGGTATGGACTCGTCATAACTAACAAAACGGAGCCCAAATTCGGCACACCTAGTTCTACTCGTTCAGAAATTCCAGCAGTAGTTACTGAATTACCCCTTCAGGTCACTCCATCTAGTCCGGTGGTAAGGTCTCATCATAACCTACAAAACGAACCCAAACTCGGGACACCTAGTTCTACCATTCTAGGAGTTCCAGTTGCCATCACCGATTTACACCTTCAGGTCACTACATCAAGTCCGGAGGTATGGACTCGTCATAACTAACAAAACGGAGCCCAAATTCGGCACACCTAGTTCTACTCGTTCAGAAATTCCAGCAGTAGTTACTGAATTACCCCTTCAGGTCACTCCATCAAGTCTGGTGGTAAGGTCTCATCATAACTAACAAAACGAACCCAAACTCGGCACACCTAGTTATACTAGTCTAGGAGTTCCACTTGTAATCACCGAATTACACCTTCAGGTCACTCCATCAAGTTCGGTGGTAAGGTCTCATCATAACCAACAAAACGAACCCAAACTCGGCACACCCAGTTCCACTAGTCTAGGAGTTCCTGTTGTAATCACCAAATTACACCTTCATGTCACTCCATCAAGTCCGCAGGTAGGTAAGGTCTTATTATAACTGACAAAACCAGTTCAAAGTCCAGAGCTAACATCTCACTACCAGTAGAGGGCTTCCAGTGCCAAGCAGTCTCTGGAGCAGGTATTCGTATTTCGTATCGAAGTATATTTCTGAGGTAGGTATAAGAAATGAAAAACAAATTCAATCTTTCAAATTATCAAAATAATTTCATTTGACTACGATTCCCACAGCCAACCGTGCGTACACTAGTGTGTGTGTGACTTTTGTCAATGTAGTAGTGCGATTCTATACCTATCAATTTTGTAAACGCGTCCTTAAATTGTAAAAATGTAACCATGCGTAGGTATATAGATGTGGAAGAGGCGAGAGAGGTATGTCAGGATCGTGCTAAATGGAAGTCTGTAGCCTCTGGGTGACAGGCGTGAGTGTTTATTAATTATTAATATTAATATTACAATTTTACTGTAATTATTCGTAAATCAAATGAGGTGTGGTATATCAGAGATCCACTTTACTGGTAAGAAGAAATCCCATTATAGTACTCAGGAATAAAACATGCATTTTTTTTTCTTAAAAGTCAAAAAGTAAAGTTACAGCCTAATACGTCACACTGCTGGGCACAGGCCTCCGCTCATTTCTGAGAGGGTTTTAGGGCAAGGAATTGTCCGCCGCGCTGCCCCAATGTGTGTTGGCGAACTTCACATGTCTTCAAAATATTTTTTTTCTTATTTCTCTGACATGCAAGTTTCCTCACGATGTTTTCCTTCACCGCCGAGCACGTGGTAAATCAGCACTTAAAATTGCAATTAACAATTTCATTGGCGCCGGCGGGGATCGAACCCGGTTTGCTCGCGTACTGTGAAATTTACAGCGAGTGCTAGCCATCTAAGCTACCACGGCTCTTTTTTATCTTAAAATGAAGTGTAAATGTAGTTGTCTATTAACTACAGCATCAACTCACCAACCACTTCAACTCTTCATCGCCCTTAAATTCGTTAGAAGATAGTTTTTATCTACTTTTAAAAGGAATTTATTTTCTGAGTTCATTTTGTTTCAATGTATAAAATTATATAACAAAGTAAGTATCCCTATATTAGTTTTAGTAAATAAAAAAGTACCTATCTATAAAGTAATATCGTATTATTTATAAATTCTCTTTCAGTTCCCCTACTCCTGATGGAAATCTGGATAATTTGGTAGAATGGCCTTTATATACGGAAAAGGATCCAGTTTACTTGAGTATTAACAAGGAAATTAAAGCGCAAAGCAATTACAAACCAAATAAAATGACAATTTTCGAAGAAATCTATGAAAAATATGAAAAATAATTTACTAATCCAACAAAAATAGCGTGATTGTCGAAACTTTTTGTCATTTTTTTTAAATAAAGTTTTAGTACATACCTAGTAGAACAAGCGTACTCACTTTATTTACTAATTTTTAAACCTAACATTATTTAATATAATATCGACACCAGCAACGTTGGTCTTTATGGGATAACCATCTGCACCGAATTGGTTTATATACCGTCTTATTAGGAGACGAGCAGAATCACGTTATAAAATTAAAAAACTAAACTTCTTGCCTAAAAGACTTTGTATAATGACTTCTTTATAAAGCAGTAGAGTGACAAACGTACTGTCCACCTGATGGTAATTGGATGCCGTGGCCCATTTACATCTACATCTATCCTCAATACAACGAATCAAAACGCAGATGGTAATCTGTGAAAACGTCGTCCTCCCTTGGTGGAGCAGACCCATTCGTGCTACAACTATAATATAGCTGCAGTATAACTATACCACGTAAAAATAATTGTTTTAATCTAGATAAAAGCATAAAACGATGATTATAATGTTAAGAATTAGGACTCACATAAACAAATGTTTTACGTGTATTTTTCAAGCTTCATTTTTAGGGTTCCGTAGTCAACTAGGAACCCTTATAGTTTCGCCATGTCTGTCTGTCCGTCTGTCCGTCCTCGCTTAATCTCTGTGACCGTTAGCACTAGAAAGCTGAAATTTGGTACCAATATGTGTATCAATCACGCCGACAAAGTGCTAAAATAAAAATTGGAAAAAAATGTTTTATTAGGGTAGCCCCCCTATATATAAAGTGGGAAGTGATTTTTTTTAATTTCAACCCTAACGTGTGATATATTGTTGGAAAGGTATTTAAAAATGAATAGGGGTTTACTAAAATCATTTTTTGATAATGTTAATAATTTCGGAAATAATCGCTCCAAAAGTAAAAAACAATGTGTCCCCCCCCCCTCTAACTTTTGAACCATAAGTTTAGAAAATATGAAAAAAATCTGGAAAGTAGAACTTTATAAGGACTTTCTAGGAAAATTATTTTGAACTTGATGGAAACAACAGTTTTTGTACAAACTCATAAGTGGGAACACTTATTGTGACGGACGGGAAACTACGGAACCCTACACTGAGCGTGGCCCGACACGCTCTTGGCCGCTTTTTATTAGTGAGTAATCTCAATAGAATATATAGACATAGCGTTGTGACTTTTTTAGAACTTGTAGTACCTATTTGCAGTTTGACAAATACAAGTGGTTTTCCTCAATAAAATCAAGATTTCTAGGGTTTCTCGTGCGTTCGTTTCTCAGTTTGACAACGCTTCGCGTGCAAAATGCGTAAAAAATAAATAATTAAAAAAAAATTAAAAGTTTTCAAAATTTCAAAATTTACGATTCAAAATTTATTGAAAGCAATTTAAGTATTTGTTTTGTTTTGAGCGACGGATATTAATAACTATTATTTTTTCATATAATAGCACGAGGTCCGACACAAATATTGCACATTTTTTAAACCAGTAATTAAAAACTTTATAAACCAATTTATAACTCCTAATTAAATTTAACCATGCAACTTATATTCGATAGGTTTTTTTTTCATTAACGTATTACTTATGGAGTGTAGAAGTAAGGAGTATAGACTGTGTTTTAAAAAGTGTCCATAGACAACAGTTAAATAAAGGTGGCGCCACTATAGCTACGGGCCAAATTTTAAAGAATGTGACGAAAAATATTAGTGGGATAGGATGACTTTTTCGTGGTTATATTTACTAAATAAAATTATTTTAGATTTTAGAGCTACTGAGCAGTTTAGCAGCACACTCCAAACCGTCGACAACTGCTAAGTTCATTTCATCCCAGTAGCTACTCCAGCGCTGTTGTGGAGAGTTTTGAACTGCTATTTACTGCTAACAGATGATCACTTTTTCAACTATTCTACTATGGGAGTCGGTACTCATTATTTCTACACTCCATAGTTTTACTATTTTGCGCCAAAATCCGCCATTTTGTTTATTTTTAAAACAAAGCTATATAAGAATACTTGGGTTATTAAGACGAATAAAACGATACCTTAATTGTTGAAATACATCTAGCCGTTTGGAAGATACGAGGTACGGTAATAAAGAAATTTACAAACATACAAGATCGCGCTAAAAACATAACCCTTCCTTGACAGTTGGTTAAAAAGGAAACACTTATGAAATCACCTCGGTACCTACTTATTACTCTATCTATTTTTGACAATATACAGTGGCTCATATTTGATATTTTCGTTATTTATTTTTTAGTTTTATTAATAATAAATACTAGCAATGCTATGAAAATTACTAATATACCCTGTAGTCACTCTGCATGCTTGTGTTAGGAGTGGTTCACGACAGTACACGAATGGACAGTTCGAACTCACGATCTTTTGAGTTCGCGGTCCGCTTCCTACCAGTAGGCTACCGTCGCCTAATTCGTATTAAGGGATTAATTTTGGGGAGTAAAATAGGAAAATAAAGTGTGTAGTGGCGGTGTACAACAATCCACTACCCCGTACCCCGCGGTTACCCCTAGTCCAGTGGGGATCGTAAGAGGCGACAGAGGGAACCTGAAACAGGAGATGGGCAGCAGCATATTCCTGATAACAACTCAAAATTATAAAATACTGCGGTGGAAGATTGGCGACAATGGAGGGGATCCTTATGAGGCACTCTATGGAGGAGGCCTATGTTCAGTAGAAGTCTCTTTCTTATAGGCTGTAATCATCATCATCATCATTACAGCCCTTCACCAGTCCACTGCTGAACATAGGCTCCCCCCAAGTAATGCCACAAAGCACGGTCCTGAACCACCTGTATCCATCGACTTCCTGCATGGCTTACCAGGTAGTTACTCCATCTAGTGGGGGTCGCCCTACACTACGCCTACCGGTACGAGGCTGCTATTCGAGAACCTTTTTTCCCCATAGGTTATTAGTTCTTCGAGGTATATGGCCGGCTCATTGTCACTTCAGCTTACTAATCCGTTGGGCTATGTCGGCCACTCTGACATCCTCATTTCTGAGTTTATCACGCAGAGAAACCCTGAGCATAGGATGTAATAGATAGATTGATATACCTTTCAGAAATATATAAATCATTAGTTTGTGCTGAATTTTATTTCACGTTTTTAGAAAAATAGCTTAAAAATCCGCCGTTTTTTCTCCAAGGTCACGATAACAATTACGAAAAATCGCGATTATACTTACGGCAGTTCGAAACAAAATGTTCAAAAATCTCCATAAATCTTCGCAATGTGACGCATCCATATATTATCAAGTAGTTTTTAAACAAATTATTAAAAGGGATAATTTCTTATTACTTGACACTGGCAACAGCACGAGTCCATTTCCAAAAGAATTACAGACAAACCGAGAAAGAAACCAAGAAAGCGAGCGAAGTTAAGAAAATGGGTGTCGCAGATGATTACCGTACGCTCCCTCTAAAACGTAGTGATTATAAACTCTTTGGTCCTCACCTCGCTTTAGTTATGTCCATGCGTGCGCGACCGCGCGTGTGTATGTGTGTGTGTGTGCGTGCGTGCGTTAGTGCGTGAGTGTGTGCGTTCGTGTGTGTATATATAATTATGAGTTCAATAGATTTGGAAATAGTAACACCCAATTAAAAAAGATGAAAAAAGTTATTAATACGCAAATTAATTTTCTTAGCAAGCTGTACTTTTCAAGTGACAGTTTACAGATTGTGATCATTCGAGGTCATTGACGTTCCTATTCTTATTTAAATCGTACTTGCGTGTGTTTCTCGAAAAAGGCTTTAACAATTTCTTGGTAACAAAATAACAGCCATTAAAAATTTATAAGTCCGAAAAATATCAACTTTATTAAAAAGTATAAATAAAATATCTTTTATATTTTATTCTTTTTCTTTATGTATTTTTAATGGGTCAAAATCAAAAGTAGGAATTTTTCCAAACATTTAAAAATTATTAAGTATTAACTTTATTGTAAAGACGTTTTTATTGGTATTTCATCAAAGAATGTAATTGTTCCGTTCGAAAATAACAATTCCTTTAAATTGAAAAAAAAAACGGTTTAAACAATATGGCACCGAGTTGCCCCTTGGCAACATGCATTTATATCATCAGTAGGACAATTTGAAGAGAATCGCATTACAAAATTGAGAATAGTTTTCGATACTTAATGCGCCGATTTCTCCTGGACTATAGTTCGTGCCAAATCGATTGAGAAAAACGGACATTGACCTTTCGGTCGTTTAACTAGGGGCTACAAACCTTCAATATATATGCACTTTTTACATGTAGTACTTTCTTTATTTATAAGTATTTTTTATAATGATTGATATAATATATATCTACTATCATCGATCACTAATAAAAAACTAGATACACAATCAGTGACAAAAAACGACCTCACCGAATGAGCACCCATTCGAACATTTGGGTGCGCTTTTAATCTAGTTACATTCGAACGCTCCGACGGTTAACATGCCTCAGTGCTCGTTTAAAAAGTGTACAAATCATACATCCAGGACGCTAAAAAAGGGATGGAATTTTCTAATTTCGGTACGTATTCGTATTACCGTTATTTAATTGTTATCACTGTATTGTAAATACTTATATTTTGTCAAGAAATCTCCGTAAACATTTTTTAAATTAAGTCTTAATAAAATAAGTCATAATTGTTCGTTGACTCTGTTCCATTTGATGGAGACGTTATTATTTTTTTTATTATTAAAGTATGATTTTTTTTTGTTTAATTAGACTTGTTTATAGTTTCTCCAAATACTATAGTAACATATTATAGATTTAATTTTGAATATGTGCATGTAGTAAATTTAAAGATATGAGATTTTATTTTTAATTTTTCAGCTTTCCTCGAGATCCAGTTAGGGGTGGAGAATGGATATCAGTCATAGAACGTCAAAGATCCGATGAATAATTCAAGCTGACCCAAGGAAGCGTTGTATGTTCGAAGCATTTTTTAGAAAGTGATGAATATGTGACTACGACTTACAACTTTCTGTACATACTTTTTATATTTAGTAACTATTGAATTTAGATTTAAGTTCTTTGTCAAGCAATATTTTTAAATTTTTGACTCATGACGAAGAATAAATAAATAATTATGACTGTTTCAAGTACTTTCGTTATTAAATGAATCTGGTGTCCTATCCAAAAACGTATTCACATTCAGGTAAATTATAACCATTACCAATAGAATATGTTTTATATGCACCAGTTTTTAAAACAAGTTAAATATTTTAAAATTAAAATAACAATAACAAAAATTATTGGGCATTTCGACTCCAATGATTCCTTGTCTAAACTACGAGCCTCGGTCGTAAAATTTGATTGCTTTTTATTAGCACTTTGTAATTCTGACTTTAAAACACGCGTGTAAGGTTGAATTTGTTATGATGTAGATATCAGTCATAAAAATTTATTGCTTTTCGTACGTATCTTTGTGAATACAACTATAGGCAATGTATTTAAGGTTGAATTTACTTAAATGTATATTTATTTCCACTAGAATTACGTCACAACAATTGACGACAGTTTTTAGAGAACTTTTGTATGGGATTGTGCATCTAGTTCCTTATTAGTGTTCAATGTCTACTATTATTAAAAAGTTATGTAAAAGATCGCTGTAGAAGAAAAATCATCTATTGTTATAAAGTACTTTATTAATTTAACAACAAAAAGCATTAATTTTTAACACATAATATAAAGATTCGAGTGATAACGACACCGAATAAGTCCGTACTTATTCAAAAGATAAAACTTTATTTTCAATATTATATAAGAACTTTATTTTTATTCGGCGCATGCGGGGCGGGCCAAAAAAAGAGACGCATCTCTGGCTTGCATTGTCACGTTTCTTTTAGAACGAACTGACGTAACGCGCGTTTTATTTTAAAGGGATGAATTTGCAAAAGCTCAATATGGTGATTATATTGCTTCAAATATTTTTTTTAATATGAAACTGTTATTAAATGAATTGCTGCGTTATTGGTTTTTGTTCACAGACAATATTATTTAAGAAACAAAAAAACAAAACATATGTGCTGACCTAAAAGTGTGAATAATATCAATATTTAAATATTGTTATCACTTCTAAATTGAGATTTTGTAAGTTACGCCTTTTGACACTCGGCTCATATCTGAGATCATCGTCCGTTTTTCTCAATCGATTTGGCACGAACTATAGTAATAGCCCATCGCACGGTTAGGTATGGCCTTACATAATTCATAACTATACTTCAAACTCGTACTACAGAATATTAATCATAAGTTTTAACAGAATGAACTACAGAAATCGTAATAATAAGACCATAGGAGACTATAATACATACATAATAGAACGGGGGAGTGGGCGGAGCCCGCGTAGCCACAAAAATGCCACTAAAACTTCAATTCACACGTATAAATGTCAACACAAGATGTTTTGACGTTACAATCGTTTCCAAATTTCGCATGCCAATTATATAGGATATGCCTAATTGCACGCTATTTACAAATAAATATGTATTAAAATCAGTCTGTCAAAACAGCGAATCGGGTTTGTAGTACCTAGTGATTAACTAATAATATGACGTAATTGCTTGTATGTTGTGCTCCCGGCGACGCCGAATCTCGTACAAAATAAGGTTGACAGACATTCTATTTTGTATTATAGTATTCTATGAATAAGACAATATTATTACGATTTCTGTGTATAATGAAACTAAGACTAAGTGTAACTCAAAGATACGCTTTATTTTTTTTAACAATTCTATTAAATCTGAAATATACTTTATTACTTATTTTCAGTCCCTCTTAGTCACTTTTGTTACAAAAATATAAAATGTATAGACATTTACAATTAACATTTTTATTATCTGTAAGTATATAGGTAATTTGAGTAAAAATTCATTCTATTGATAAAATTAATAAAAAAACAGCCTTAAAATATTTTCTATCCGCTATATCTGCTCCCGAAAATTAAAAATAAGAAAAATTATTTATATTACTGGTCATCACAAAAAACTGTTAAATTTTCTATAAAGTTCTTCGTACAATTTTGTTCTTCTCGGATATGGTTTGTTCTTCATTGTCAATTTATCGTTCACGACCAGATATGCCATCTCGTTATCACCGACTGGTTCCCATTTTGTGGTTATCACATCATCAATTTTCGGTGTAGGGTCACTAAAATGTAATGAAACTATTAATTATAAAAAGAGACATTATGTATGTTTGTTATTATGGCAGCTTCCCTTAGATTGAGTGACGAACTGGGAAGATGCACGTGGTTCGGGAACGTGTTTAGTGATATTCCTTACGGAAGGTATACTTTCAGCAGTAGACGTGTGAAAGGATATAGTCATGACAATGATATTTTAAGCATTGACGAAAATATCGAAGGAATCGGCCAATCAAATCCTCGCCCTCCCGTAAATTATCCTCAGAAAATTCCTTATAAACACCATAATAACTCTTACAATTATGTAAAGCTATTATATCAATATTAATAAAAATTACAAGGAAATGCAAGATCTTTTCCAACCGTATACCTTCTGTATACGGCTACTTTTTGTACTTGTTTGCGGACTTCCTAACCGAAACTGACTGCCTTAGAAAGCACTTAAAGCCGTTGGATTATCTTTTTCCGATCGTTATGAATTGCCGTCCCATCAGACTATGAGAGTGAGGAAATAGAGTGCACCTGCGCACGCGCTCTTGCACTACCCTGCAGTGGCGAAGCTAGGGCTCCAAACTAGGGCATGCCCAAGATATGGTTTTGTCGTTTTTAGCAGTTTTATAAAAATACACCAATCTTGATCTCTCTCCACTATTCAGTGCTGTCGAGGACGTGTTTAACAAAGCATACAGAAGGCATACTACTGCTAGTTAGATTGTATGACATATCGACAATTGCATACCTGCGGTGGCTTTTAAAAGAGCCGTTTGGGTTTGCTTGAGCGAAAGAAAAAGATATTTACATACAATACAACACATGAACAAAAGAAAAGCATGAACAAAGTACAAACAAACTATGTACATAATTAAGAAAAGGGACGCCTGACAGATGTGAAACATCGAAATTATTTTGTTTAAGTTGTATGCTTAGAAGAATAATATAAATATTAAATTAGCCGATAGCGTGTTTGTGCCATTTAGCGTAATCTTTACGATAAAATGACTTCGATTAAGTAGATGACGCTATTAAAATTTTATATACTGAACTGAATGACTAAAGTAAATATTCTTTAAAAACCTCAACACATCTATTAATTTAATTTATTACATCAAAATTTGGGCTACACATTAAAAAAAGATTGTAAAAATTATTTGCTATAAAATTAAACTTATAAATTTTTTTTGTATTGAGTGATTAAACCTTTAAATACGCCTAGAATAATTAAACTTTAATAATAAAGAGTCCTGTACCTATTAAAGTATTAAGAAATGTTTATTGAATTAAAATTTCATTTTTAAAGATTTTACATTTTCCTTGCCGATTAGCACTTTAACACACTTATATACCTCACAAGGAACACTATTATCCTCCCATTTTCACTAAAAAATCTTTGAAAAAGCATAAATTTTTAACAGAAACAACAAAAACAAACATAAACATTCGCTAACGCACTCCTAACCAACTTCAGGGCAAAGCACGGCTTTTGGTTCCATAGCAAGTGCCATATAAACATTTCGTAGTTATATTTCATTATAGAACATTTTGTCACAGGTTAGAAAGGGAGCGATCGTCTTCTTGAAAGCCCTGTCAAACGCCAACGCGTGTGAGAGGGACAACAAAATCAACTCCTTGCGTTCATTAATTTTGACAATCCAGTGTATTTCGAATTAAAAGCAAACTGCCAAGTGTTGACGTTACATATTATATGCAAGAGCAGGAAATTTGAACTAGTTTGAAACAGTTTAAGAGTTATTTTATTAGTTGATATTATTGATTGACCATTTTGAAAGGGCAAGCCCGGCTTCTCGGCTTCTATGGAGGCTTCGCCACTGCTACCCTGACCTGCGCAGATGGCCTGTTTATGTTGAGACTGGCCATTGAGACGGAAATTCGATTCGAAGGGCGTATTTATTATTATTTATATGTGCCCAATGTTTTACAAATAAATACGGTACTTTATTTCTTTTTAGATGATTAAGGTGGTATTTAGAGTCTGTCACAGTGTAAGATGGTATAATTTAGCAGCTGAAATCAACTTGTATAATCGCTCGGAGCACCGCCCACGGTATATAAAATAAAGTGGATCAAACGGATTGGAAACAGCTTGGCAATCGACGATTCGAGTCGCTTTTCGCCAAATGCAAAGAAGTGGGTACTGGGATGCCTCGGCCCCATAGAATACTATAATTATGTATTATAGTAATCTATTCTTGGTCCAGATATGAGAACAGTATTTTTCAATCCTTGCAAAGTCGTAAAGCGTGGGCTTTTATGTGGCTAATTTATTACTTGCTTTTATGTTACTAGAAGAAACAAGGTTCAAATAACGAGTCTTGATTATTAAGTCACCATTCCATGTCATCTTTCATTGACTAGCGTGTATTAATATTTTGTGTATATCATTCTAAAAATTTAAGTAATGATTCAGAAATAACTACTCTATATGACATTAGTCTCATTTTCCTAATCTATTTAAAACTTACCCATATTTAGCGAAATTTGTCCACATTGCAACCAATTCTGTCTCGTACCAGTTTATCTTTATCTAGAATGTCCTCATTCTTTAATAAATCAGACTTTATCAAATATCCGCCATCGTCGCCATGACACGCCCCTTCCCGTTCAATGTTCATCTTCTTTTTTAAATAATTCAAATTTCCATCATAAGCGAATTCATAGAAATATACTGGTGCATTATTTTTTGCTATCAGAGATGTCGCTACATATATGCCGCCGAAAAAATCAACGTCCGTAAAGAAATCTATTGCATAGTAATCGTCATCTTTATGTGTTCTTTCACCTTCTAAATAAGTTGCTTTTAATTTAGTTTCAATTTCATGTTTATCTGTATCATCATAATCAAAAGGCAGGTGCGAGATAAACGATTTTTCGGTCACTAAACTGTCAAGTTTAGAAGGGTAAAGGGGTAAAACTAAGAGTCCTTCGCGCGTACAAAATCCACTCATAAAAGGTACTTTTGCAAATTCACCTTTTGATAACATTTCATATGTAGATTTACTAATGAATTGTTCCCAATCTCCCGATTTCTCCACCGTAGGGACGAAACCGAAATGAATGCCTCCTCGGCTATTATCGGTTCCTATTGCTAACATCGATGCTTGTATTAGCTCTTTTATCGGCATTTCTTTTAAATATTTTAATAACTGGTCTTCATCTTTAATTACTTTTTTCTTTAACAGAGGTATTTTTGCAGCAAGTTCTTTAACTTTTTCATTTTGAGCCCAATGCAAAAGGGATGAACCTGATTGCGCAATCGCTTTATGAAATAAACCTTTTGTTAATGGGGACAGAAGAAGATACTCCACAGATGCTCCCCCAGCACTTATTCCAAAAATTGTTACATTTTTAGGATCACCACCAAATTGGGAAATATTTTTTTGAACCCATTTAAGTGCAAGCATTTGATCTCTAAGGCCCATATTGCCAGGTGCTTCTTTTCGATCCAGTGATAGAAATCCTAGGATACCTAGTCTATAGTTCAAACTAACAATAACAACTTCTTTTTCAATAAGAAAATCAGGGCCGTGTGCAGAATCATCTGTGCCATGTCCAAATAAGAAGCCACCACCATGAAAGAATACCATTACAGGTAATTTCTTGCCTTCATTCGTAGTAAGAGGTGTATACACATTTAAATAAAGACAATCTTCATCACCTATAAAGGTAGCAGTTGCCTTATCAAATTGTGCGCAAATGTTACATTCCTTTGTAGCATCTCTTACACCATCCCAGGGTTCTGGAGGTTGAGGCGTCTATAACACAAAACGAAACCTTTATTAAAATTGAAGACAAGAAATCAAGCACACTATAGAAGAAATACAATAAACAACTGTAATAATTTATAACATTTACAAAGAAATTAACGTAAGGACATTAAAAGACCTTGCCCTTAAGAACCCTGTTCAATATTAAGTTTTTTACCTCTTTTTCCAAGCACGTTGTAAATAGTGGAAATTCATCATCAACTTATTTCATATAACAAGATAATCTTCAAATAAGACTGTGCTACATCTGATGTAATTTTTGGCCAAACAGCAGCCTACAGAAAGGTATTGAAAATGTCATACAAAATAATAAGAAACACCATTGTCAGGTTATTATTTTAATTTGTTTTTACCTGACTACCCCAGAAGGAGATAATGTTATTCTTAGTGTTGTATGTGACGGCACATGCACCATTGCACGTGCAGCGGCGCCTTTATAGCTAGCCAGAACTCTTGTAAACAACACGTGCGCCGCATACCTGCGCGTTGCACTTGCAGTAGCGCCCGTGTGACTACTTGTTTTGCTTGTACAAAACAGATGGAGCGGTCACTGTGAAAAGGGCGTCTTGGCTCTAGCTTGGCACGGTGTAATTGCTGTATTCTGCTACTAGCTCATCCTCGACTCTTCAGATAATTAATTTGTGGAAACAATTTAATTATTATTCTTAGCTATTAAACTAGTCTCAGTACAATTTATAGTTGAATATTTGCAAACTGTGTATTTCAAAATTGTATAAAGTAATATATTATACATTAATTCTATTTAAAAGAAATGTCCCGCTGAGTTTCTTACTGGTTCTTACCAGGACATAAGTTTTCTCCAAACCAGTGGTCGTAGTACTATGTTGAATAAAAAATGATTCTATTCTATTTAAAAGCGTTTTTCATGTGACTTTATACATTTTCTTATAACTTCCTACATATGTATTTGTGTCTATTTTTTTGTCACGCTACAAGTGCATATGAATAAATTAATAAGTACTAAAAGTAAAGTGCAGCTGACGAAAACTGAACCATAAGATAAGCAACAGCAGCCAGCAGCAGCTTTTTTATAGAATAAAGGTGACAAGCAAGCACAGTTCAGGTGATGGGTAAGTGAACGCTGTGGCCCATATATATCTACATCTATAATCGATTAAGAATCAAAATGCAGATGCATTGTCTTCCCTGCAGGGCTAACATGGACAGGAGACAAAAAATTTATCCCCCGATTATATCTACTGGCAAGGGATAAACTTATCTTGTCCTTATACCAGAGCATGGTAACAGAGGGAAGGAGAAGTATTTCTCTGTTTGACAACGAGTAGACATATATCCTCCACCTGTAGCATGGGACTAAATAAAAGAAAAAAATTATTTGAAAGGGAGAATTTTATGCAGAGATTGAAAACGGTTCCAAAATACCGGTATAAAACAGTTATTTAGGAGTTCCGGTACCTATACTGGAATAGGAACCAGAACCTTGAAGAACCCTTATTTTACCTCTCGGTTCCTAAGCAAAGCGAAAGTGAGTCCAAACTTGTTTGAGGTGTGGTCGGGTCCCATGAGTAAACAAACAGAAGATAGATAAAGCTTCATACAACCACAAAGGTTGCACTACTACAAGCACGCGGGGTCGTGCGTGACCACTGGCCGCGTCTCGCGTACACAGCAAGACTTAAAAAACTGGTTACGATGGCCAGTTGACAAATCGAATTGTCAATGCGACACACATTGTTAGTTTCATTAGTTGCAAGTTTAAGTATTTGAATGTAAAAACGTGGTATTATTAATAATGGTTGTTTATTGTACTGTATGTATGAATAATACCAGAAAAAATAAAAATTTATCTTACTTTACCTATCCCAAGGAGTACAAAAGGTAAGTAAATATTTGATTATTACCTTTTCAAGTAAGTACCTTTATTGTATTGTACGATCCTTTCTTTAATAAGAAGAGGGCACTACACGGTGTATTTTTTCCTTGTTATTGTTATTACACTATATTACTAAACATTTGTAGGTATGTGGGTGGGTTGGTATGTACCAGGTACGCATGTTAAGTTCACATATTGCAATAAGATTTGAACTACTTCCCAAAGTCTGATTGAGTTGAAATTTTGTACACCGTAACTTCAGTGACAATGCAATTATATGATAGATATAACCTGGTGCTGCAGCCAATGACTGTCTCCTTATTAGGGAACTCTTTAACAGGTAGTAGCAGGGTCACAAGATGTTTATCATGAACTACTACTGCAGCCAGCATTGTCTCCTCACAAGAGAACTCTTTAACGGTTAATAGCATGAACTATAAACTTTGCATTTAAATTTTATTTTATTTGCTAGACATGATCTTCACCATAAACTGCTGCCGTAGACAGGATAGTCTCCTCACGAAAGAACTCCGCAACAGCTATAGTAAACTTTAGGTTAGATTCAGAATTTACCACACCATTGAAAGAAACAATAAATAATTATAGTCAACCAAATCTAAGAAATACATTTTGACAGCTGTCAGACTTATTGCACCAAGCATGCCAATCAAAAAATGGGAAAGTATAATATTCGATTCTTCAAAAAAAATCAATATCGGTTATTTAGAGTTGGTAATCATTTACAGTTTTGTTTGAATAATACTAGAATAAATTAAAAACGGATAATTTAAAACACAACAATCAGTTTCTTCGTATTTGTTGTTACTGCTTATATCTAGAAGCATAGTAGTAGAAATGAAATATTGAAACTAGATTAAAAATACTTTTATTCAATCACTTTCAATACAACTAGTTGAGCTGTAGTTGTTTAGATTAATTATTATTTGATTTTCATTAATGCAGTCAAAATTAATGTCTCTTTCAAAGTCATCCATAATCAATTTATTGTTTTTTCTCCCACTTTTGCCCCTTCATCCTTTGTGATATCGGTATATGCTTCAACGAATATAGAAGAAACAGTCCAAAAAGTTAAAACCGAGTCATAATATCAAATAAGGAGACAAACACAAAATCACAAAATTATGCATAGTTAGCTCCCGACATGGCAGGAGACTGAAATTACATTGTGGTTTTTTCAGCGCGGCCTTGTATGAGTTTGTTTTGCCTACAGAAATTTACGTTGACAATGTAAAAAATAGACTTGTTTTATTCATGATTTAGATAATTTAAGGAATGTCAAAAATAAAGATTTAATTAAACAAATAATACATTAAAAAATTATGATTCGATTATTTGAATATATTTATCGATTATTTGAATACTTTTGCCGATTATTCGCATAACAATGAACTTTAATCATCCAAACACTACGGTAGTGTACATAGCGACATTTCATTGAAACAACGTCAAGTTAAAAAGTTGATACTGGATATTTTTTTAATATTTTGCTTTGTTCGATAGATTCGAATTTAAATTAGTGATAAAAAACTATACATGTGGAATGAAATATAGATAACTTCGTAATTCTTCGGGTTTACGTAAAATTTTATTTTAAATCGTGTGAGTACGCTTGTACAAAGTTAATGCGGAATAATTAATGTGAAACGTCAAAAGGTATTTCTTAGATTTGGTTGACTATAAAAAACAAAAATTATAAAAAGAAAATTATTAGAGTAAGTAATTTGTAAAGTAGTCTATCATACTGAATAATAAAACTATTTAACAATTGTTTTGTTTAATTTTTCTTCTCATATTGTGACAACTCTCCCAAAATAGGTAACAATATTGCCCATTCTTAAGAAGCTTTGTCTCTGTTCTGTTTGTCTACTCATGTGGTCAGGTTCTAGTTTTTAGAAGAAGCCGTTACGCTAACCATTATTACAAAAATTGACAATGGGCCGAAAGAAATAAATTTGTCTATAAACATTTTATACATGATGAACATCAAAACTATTCCACATGTTCGGTCAATGACATGTTCACCTTTCAATCGGGTGACAAGGAACTGGTATAATATCATCCGATTTAAAGGTTCTAGGAACTGGTATTTAGAACCGGTACATCGGAACTCAATCCGGAACTGATACAAGAACTGGAACTGTACTGAAAAAAGGAACCTTTATAAGAACTTAACTGAAACCTAATGAAAAAAGATGTCGTGCCTACTGCAACTTCATTTTCATATCAATAATTGCAAAAAAAGAAAGGAAATTACATCAGCAATCGATACATGATCAGAGTACTTAATCCATTGGAATTCTCCGACAACGAATTTCTACACCGGTTTCAAATGTTTATAGATTGTGATTGTACTTGTGTAAAGAGCTATTAATTCTGTAGAGTGTAGTCTGTAGAAGTGTAATTCTGTAGTCTTAGACTACCAGTGCATAATAAAGTAACACAAAATATTATATATTTGTAATCAATACATACACTTATCTTAATATTTTTTTCTAGGTACTTTACATCTTTCAGTCTCTTGGCAGATGGTAGTCACCTACTAGAGAGGTATGAGTCAAGACCATGGAATGACTGTTGTTCAAACAACAAATAATCAGCAAATACTTGACCTAAGTTATTGGGGCCATCATTAGAATGTGGGGAGCAATATACTTTAGCCTCTTGTGTAGGTAAATATAAGTTTCAGTGCATCTACTTCTTTCATTTTACTAATGTGGAAGTATATATAATTTTTATGCATATAACAAGCAAGGCAAAATTTAGCTAAAGGATTTCTAGCAGAGCAAGGTCTGCCAGATATCCTTGGGGCTATTGACAGCGCCCATGTTGATATATTTCACCCGCCATTCCTAACTAGGGTTCAGTACAAGAAAAGGGCAGTCCACATTAAATGTTCAACTGGTAATGACAAACAAGTTATAGTTTATTCATCTGATATTTCCCTTCCCCCAGAAATAATGGTAATGTTTGTGCTAAAAATATGTGCCACAATAGTGCTACAGGTGGTCCCGTGAGACTATTGTTATCCAGGTTAAAGATCCTATCTACAACATTTCAGATTATGGTCACCCCTAAACTTTTGAGCTATTGAGTCTATATGACTCATTGGCATGATTTAATAGTACAGGTTGTTCATGTTGAGTACTGCATCATTAACATAAATGAAAAATATTATCTGTGATCTATATTATTCTCTTTATTATCTATATTATTGGCAAGTCCAACTTTATACTATTAAAATCATGAGCAAAGATAAAAGATGACTTTGTGATTTAGAGTAGACATCAATTTTAGATATTTTGTTATTTTCTTATAATGCCAATAATTATGGGTATAAGTCATCTCCCATTTTATCTACTGTAGAAATTATATCCACCAGTAGGCCAATGCTCAAAGGAAGGATAAAACTTAGCAAGGGATAAACATTTCATCCTTTCCCCATAGATAAATTGTCTCTGCTGAGCCCTGCTTAGAACTAAGATAGAATACCTCGTATGCCAGTAAAAAGGATCTTCGGTTCTTGTTAGTATTCCGTGAGGGTATGGTCCAACCCTCTTCCGAGCCGACCCATTCATGCTACAACCATAATATAGCTGCAGCCTGGCTCTACCACATACATCTTCCTGATATTAGCTGAATAAAAACATAAATTTAGACACAATGTGGATGAACGTAACGCACCTACAGCACTGGCACTCTATTAGCCTGTGGTGTGGTGGCAAAAATACTTACAGAAAATCTCAGATCGCCAATAGGTGGTTTAGCATAGGGGATTCCTTTGAATGTGTAAAATTGTACTCCATTACAGGTTTTGCAAACTTTTCCTTTTAATTTACCGTCTGAAATCTCTACTTCAGGTCCTGACATTTTTTACTACAACTAATATAAATCAATTAGTATATTATTTAGAAACAGTTTATCTTTTTAAAGTATTGGGCTGTAAGATTTTGGTTTGATATTCGAATTTAAAATAGTATAACACTGTTATAACCCTTTGTTTTTATTTTAAAAACTGATCAAAACGAAAACTGATATAAGGTACATCAAACGTCATTACGTCAGTAAAATCTATTTTTTTTATTTAACTCGCTTTACGTCTCTGGGTTCTAGCTTTTCTGAGCCTATCATTTCTTTCGGAATCTTCATTTTTATATATTATTTCTTCTTCACATTATGCTGATGCGTCACATTGCGAAGTTTTTGGGAAATTTTGACGACATCTCACCCAGCGGGCAGTTGATGACGACAACTCCTCAAGTTAATAACACGCCCAAGCGATCAAAATAACTTGAGGTTTATATCAACATCAAAGTACTTGTTTCGTCGTTTTCTGTAATAGTTCACACGCGCAGACACCTAATGCACAAAATCGCATCACTTTTACGAATCAAAATCCACTTCAAACACTTCGTCAACAAACAATCCGTCGACTGCCAAGTTCCTGACAAAACTCCCAGTAAAATGTCAATTACCCATACAATAGATAAATAAATATGTAGCAAGCTATTCCATACCAGAGAATACTTTTATACACCTGTTACACAACCCTGAATCAAGGTCCCTACGCCCTTTTGGGTGGAGTAATAAGAGTAAGGGTCCCTAATTAGGGCGTCAAAGTGGACCCAGTCTGTAGTGCCCTTGCCACCGTGCAGTGTAATAACACTAAGGGCAGCTGGGGTACTTATTCGATGCGCGACTAGGGATCCAAACGATACATCAATTCTTTCAAATATCCATATATCGTTCATAAACATGGTTTTTCATGAGCGATGTTTTATGAACGATCTTTTGGCTTGCCGTAAAAGGTTACGAAATAACTAACTATTTGAAGGTATAATATTCCGTATGTTAAAAGTTGCAAACGATGATTATCACGAATTTTATGTCGCTGAAAAATAAATAGGTATTCGAAAAAATGTCAAAGTTAGATAACCTCAAAATTTTAAAAGTTAAAGGTTTATTTAGCAGAAATAACTTAATCCAGAAAAATTTAATTACGAATTAACAAACAGGCGACTGGTCTTTCAGCTGAAAATAAATATACTTTAACTTCAGGAGTGCAATCGTCTTCAATCGGTAATTGCATTTTCGATGTAAAATAATTGTAGTTATTTTTATTGTGATATTTGATATATTGATACATATTAAATGTGTAAAACTAAGTAGTGTAAAATTTACTAAAATACCATAAGTATAATGTTTGATTATTATACTTCTTTTTTCATTTATGTTCAAAATGATAATTTATTCTATATATATGTATGTATATATTTAAATGGTGGAAAAAATCGATAAATCGTACATAAGATTCGATGTTTTTAATGAGGGATGTATCATCCTATAGATGTGCTTACTCGGTTTGAAAAATTAAAAAAAAAAAAAAAAATTTTTTTTTGTTTACTTTTTATAAATTTGTTTTTCTATCTAACTCTTTGGTGGGTTGGGCCAACTATTATTACTAAATTTAGTAGGTAGCATTGAATTAAAAAGATATATTTAGTATGTGTCATTTACTTATATGTCTTTTTGCTTTTAATCAATTAGTAAGTACCTATATTTAACAACAAAGTTAGCTTTATAGCAGTTTTCACAAAACAACATCAGTCTAGTTTTAAGATGTAGGTAAATAAGCTACTTAATAGTTCAAATATTCTCAATAACTTAGCTATCATAAAATTCTAAATAACAAATTATTTTAGTAGTAGCTAGTACTCTTTGAAACGCAAATCGCGAACACAAATAGCTAAAGTTACAAATAATCTTTGACTAGCACTTACACTCTGTCTCCAAACCGTTTGTTTTTCGATATAAAGAACTAAACTTAATAGCTCCTCGAACTCCTCTTCCCCTATTCTCAGGTATTCAGAATTCATTTGGCTTTGGCATAATAAAATTTTGGCCCTTATCCTACTAGATAAATCATGCAAAACATGACGATATGTCAATATTTATAACGCGATAATATTGATGCTGTTTAAAAATATCGATTTAATAAATATACATACTTTTTTCACTTATCCATCCCTAAGACTGAGTAAGGGCGTAAAATCATGGTAGTGTAATAAGTAATTAGGGGCTACGCCCACCCTACATTCAGGGCCCTGATTCAGGGTAGTGTAATAGGGGCACTAAGGTACTGTAAGTCCTGATATAAAGCAAAAACTGAACGTGATTTCGGTTTATTATCGCAAGTATAATGTTTATTTACTCAATATTTTTTTTAATTTTATTATTTCTCGAAGGTTGTTCCAGAAAATTTATCATTATAGTAATAAGCGCTCTCTGTTATCCAGTAATGTCGCTATTTATTTACCACATTAGTTAGTGATTGACGACGTTTATCGATTGGCGTTATCGATAAAAAATATACAAGATACACCGATTTAATTATTTACAATATTTAAGGAAGTAAACGATACTGTACCCATACCAATAAATAAATCGGGGCATACGGCTGTTGTTTTTAACGTGAAACTTCTATGTCAGCCAGTACAAACATTATAAGAAGTCACCAAGATAGCTTTCGTTTTTAATATAATACTACAACACCAAGAGAATTGCAGGTACGTTGCCGGCCTTTTAAAACGGAGTAAGCTCGTTTTTTTAAGGTATCTAAGTATTATCAGTCCGTAAAAATCACCCATGGTAAACAATTCCAAAAAATATTCGTTGTAGTGGACCGCCAAGCATTCAAATGATGTAGATGGTAACGTAAGTTTTGTCGCTATATGCGTTGGTGAAATTTGGTGCTGGAATTAATCCGAACATCTACTACTACTACGCAGTGCCAGTGAATCGAGCCAATCAAAGAGAACTTGACCGTCGACGATTCGAGCCGCTCCGCGCTGTATGCGGTCAAATAGATGGAGCTCGCACTGGGGAGCCCGGCACATAGATGAGAACAGTATTTCATGTGAAGCCGAACCCGCGCCTTGTAAAGTTGCAAGCAATATGCTGGCATGAAAAACTGTCCCGCTCGCTGAGTACGCCAAGCTTTTTTTTTAACTTAGCTTTCTCTTCCGAGTAACTACGAAACAGCAAACAATCGATAAGCCGACGCCAAAGATTCCGATACTGGTTGCAGCAACAAGGGAAGTGTTCTGAAATTTAGGAGATACGACCAGGGGTTCTATTCAGCGGTAAACGCGTAAAGTGCTTTCCTAAAATGTGTGAAATTTAAATTGTATTTTTATAAAAGAAACGAAATTTAAAAACATGGTGGCGCTCACTTATTGGATTTGACTGACTGTCTGACCGACCAATCATATGCCATTATAATAGCGTCTAATGGACCGAGTGACGTCATCCAAGATGCCACCCATGTGACTGCTGTTTGAATTGATTCCTAGTTATTGGAAATTAAATATTTTAATTTATAGCACTAAAACTACGTAAAAAGTGAAATGATTTTTTTCGTGTGAAAGAAGTATAAATAGATTTATATGATAAAGCAATCATTCAAACTCAGTAAGCTTCAACAAGATTATAGATATTTTGATGTCGAAACGGGAATATTCTTAAAACGGGTTTTACTTTATATTTATTAAGGGAATCGCTGAAATGTTCTTCTAATAAATTTTAAGCGTAGTTTTCATATGTTTAACTAAAATGCGCCACACACGCGCGAGCTCAAAGTTTTTGAATACAAATGTTCCAATGTCCACTTTATAGTATATATCTATATTTAAATCTCTTTGTATTAGTCAAAGTTCAAATTCATAATTTAGAAACTTTATGTACTATGGAGTGTAGAAGTAAGGAGTACAGACTGTGTATTAACGTTATTCAAAGCTTACTGTCAGACATTCTACACCTGCAGCCTGTGGACGAAGTGTACTCGCCGAATTCTCAATGCGCTACGTGTTCAGTACAACAATGGATTCAGGATGTTGTTGGGGCTGCCACGCTTTTGCAGCGCATCGCGTATGTTTTCTGAGGCACGCGTGGACAGTTTTGCAGCAATATTACGCAAAAGAATAGCCTCCTTAATGCGTCGCGTGCGAGACAGCACCAACGGCCTCCTAGCTTCCATATATGGAAGGCAAGATTGCCCTGTGATGAGGTACTGGAACACAATGCATATGGGTTCCAGACCCAATATGTTTAATAATAAATAATAATTTTTGTGTAGTAATAATTTATGTATTTTGTGAATCTACTAACCCCTAGTTTTTAAGTTTTTTTTAAAGTTTTAAGTGTACTAACAAAATGGGTGTACTTATCTGAATAATGAAATAAATAAATAATAATAATAATTAAAAAGTGTCCATAGAAAACCGTTAAATAAGTGTGGCGCTACTATAGCAACGGGTTAAATTTTAAAGAACGTGCCGAAAAATGTTAGTGGTATGGACGACTTTTTCGAGGTTATGTTTACTAAATAAAATTATTTTAGATTTTAGAGCTACTGAGCAGTTTAGCAGCACACTTCAAACCGTCGACAACTGCTAAGTTCATTTCATCTCAGCAGCTACTCCAGCGCTGTTGTGGAGAGTTTTTGAACTGTTATTTACCGCTTACGGATGGACACTTTTACAACTATTCTACTATGGGGTTGGTACTTGGTACTCCTTACTATTGGTACTCTACACTCCATATTTAGAAGTTTATACTATCTGCTGATGAATAGTCATAAGCACAGAGTAGATTGTATATACATGCATAAGGGGTTTCGTTGACGAACTCCTTATTAACTTATTCGGTCAGAATTGAAGTGAAAACGACAAAGATTTCAATCGCGTTCTGCTACACACAGAAGTAAGTTGACTCTAAAAGTGTGTCTGAATCGTTTTCCAGTTTGTTTAACCTAGCATTGGACTTACTTAAAGACAGAGACGAAAAATTGATGCGCAAAAACCTAATTCAAT